CAGTGCATCGTTCCAGCAGCTCCATCATTAGCTGCTCTCATGCTAAATTCTATCATTAGGTGCATCTAAAAACCGTCTCTCAGGTGCGGCATCTAGATTCCCATCTACCATCCTAAACGCCTTCATTCAGCAGGATTTAAAGCTCTTTTCCACTTAGCTGCATTTATAATAATAATAATAATAATAATTGAACTTTATTGATCTCACATTGGAGAAAGTTTCCTCTGCATTAAACCCATCCCCTTAGGGAGCAGTGGGCTGCCATTGTGGGGCACCCGGGGAGCAATTGGGGGTTAAGGGTCTTGCTCAGAGACCCAGAGGTGCAGTCTGTGGGAGTGGGTGTCAAACTCAGAACCTCAGGTTTCCAAGCTATTTGCCCTAAACCACTAAGCCACCACTCCCCACTTTAAAGCCCCTCCCTCTGCCTGCTGCTGTGCATCAAACTCTTCCAGCTTCAGCACCATTTAAAGTCCCTCCCCCCTGCAGCTGCATACCAAACACCCAAACTTGAACTTACTCCCACCTCCAGCAACCATCACTCTTTGTGCTATTTGCTATAAATGCTTCTTCCCATTAGTGAGTTTATGTTTGATGAGTTTGTAATGTCTATAATCTTATTTTCTCATGACATCAACAGATTTCTTACATCTTTGTTGTGGTGCAGGTTTCTTATGGTGTCCTAAAAACGTGACCTTTCTACCTGCTGGTGACATTTTCCCCAGAGCCTTTTGGCTCCTCAGACAGTTTGTGTTTCAGCCACAATTAAATCAACAGTCGGCATTTCAGCTGAACGCAAACTGGGTTGATTTGCCCGCTCTGTAGCTACAGACTCTGATCTTCTTGGTCATATTTAACTTCAGTATACATTCTGCTTTAGTTGGTGAGTTTATATTGACATATAGATGATAACTGGAGTAGATTATAAGCTTTAAACAGAAGCCACAATCACCCAATCACAAACATGCACATTGATGCACGGATAAGCAGGTAACTTTTGGTTAAATGCCTTGCCCAAGGGCTTTTAGATATCTGGAAGGAGTATGTTGGAATGAAGCCCACAGCTTTCAGGTTGGTAGATCCTTACCTCTCCCCATGGTGGTCCAACTGAATATTTTTTAATAACAAACCTTCTTTCTAATGTTTTAGTTTAGTTTCAAAACTGGCTTCTGAATTATTCAATTTATTCTTATCTTAGATTTTTCATCTGATCCTTTTCCTTGAACGTTTCAGTCGACCTTTAATGACCCAAGCATAATTTTTTATCAGTTTAACTGAAATTAAAGATCAAAAAGTGGAGAATTCCTGCAATATCTATGAAAACATGAGGGTGAAATACTGCGAGGAAATGGATACGTCATCTGATTTTGCAACAGGCTGTTCTGTAAGGGTGTATCTGTCGGATTCAGATACAAGCGTTGCATGCAGCGTTGCATGAAGTTTCACTGCAGTGAGTTTTTCTCTCTAATGCTTATCTATCTGCTTTAATGGCCGCCTGCACCGCACACCATCATTCTGCACCCTGGCTGAAGCGTTTTAGTAAAATTAGGGTTAGGGATCCATAGAAATTACTAAAATATATTTAATTCCAACTGTTAAGATTTAGAATTAATTTGATCAGATCTGATATTAAAGTCCATTGCTGGTATTTAAAAAAAAAAAGCTTGTTGATAAAATGTTTCTTTTTATCATTTTCTCTCTTTTACCTTCTCTTTCTTTCATCTTTTCTCCTTTTTCCTGTTCGTCTTACATTACAGTGTCCATATAATCTGTAATACTCCCTGCATGAATTATAATAAAGCTATTTATATTAATAAATCAAAGCGATAGACGTACTGCTCCACGTGTGAAAGTAAAATTCTTATTGCCACATTGCTGGACAGGACACTGTTCAGAAAAAAAACTACAACAAAAAAAAACTACTGTTACCTAATTGACATGACTGTGAAGTTATGCAACATATTGATGTTAGTATTAAATAAAGATGGAACAGCAAATTAATAAAGTAATGGTACATTTTGGCTGAAAGGACAGTGGGAAATGATTTTTTTCCTTTTAGCGATCTTTGGTTATTCTAATCTATGATTTGATGTTTAGGGATTAACATGAGAATTGATCATAATTGGAAATAAATTTCTATTAGTTAGTTTCGGACTTTAAGAAGTAGATTAACCTGATTCTTCTTTAGCAGCGGTGAGCAAAGTGGGGGCCATTTTGGGGCCCTTTACTTGTATTTTGCCTCCTCATCACAGCTTATCTGTGCAGATGGAGACCTTTTAGTTTTATTACGACACAATTATAACAGAAAATCTAAAATAGAATAACTAAAATACTAGATACAAGCAGTTTTTTTTACATTCCTTTTAATTTCTTTGTTTAACCAAAGTCACCTTTTAATTCACTTTTTAAACTTGGCTAACAGACTAACACAAATTTTATTCCTAAAACAAAAAAGTGTCTAATGTTTTGGGTTTTTTTTTTTATAAAGAAATAAAGAACAAATGTTTTTTTATGTTCTGGCTCTACAGTAGTTTTTTTTTTTTTTTTTTTTTTACATCCTTTTCCTACAAAAAACGAATTGTTGAGTTTTAATTAAAATATTACATTCTCATATTTACGGAGCAGCAAAGAAAATAAAAATAAATCACATATATATCTCTTAAACATTTGGATCCTGGACTGGACATTGAAGAAATCTGTTTTTTCTCTATAGTCGTTGGAGGAACAGAGTAAATTTAACCATTTAAATTTAATATAGTGAAATTAGCTGTTGAATATGATGACTTCTTTTAGACATTAAAATGAGACGTTCTATTTGGCTTGTCTGGAATCTTAACAGGAACATTTAACCACAGGCATGAATATCTGATTCTAAAAGCAGCTTTACCAAAAGTTCAACTGTTTGCATAAAAACTTGCTCCATCTGCGTTTTTCTTTCTCCTACATATTCAATATTTCTGCATTCAAAACAACACGAGAAACCATTTCTTCCATAACAAAAACCAAAGACTCAGCAGACTCTTCTCAAACTCAAAGGTGCAAAATATATTGATTTATAATCCTTGTAATAAAGAATTTCTGCAGTAGCACAATCACAAACATCACATGGATGCAGTATTAGATTAGTTTAGAGTTTAAACCTTCATGCATTTAGTCTGCATGCTAACTGCTGCTCTTTATGCCATCACTTTACGTAGATCTTAGTGACTAAGATGCTGGATGAGGGGGCTGTGATGATGGTAATCAGAGAGAGGAGGGAAGATGTGGTCGCTTCATGATCGATAACAGTTGTCCTGATATTCTGCAGATCTTTTTTAAAGAAGAAACATTTAAACATCTCATGAAAATTTTGTACAGCAAACTTACATGTGTTTATTTATCATTAAAGACTGATGAGTTGCCAGAGAAAAAACAAGAATGACAAGAGCCTCTCTGGGAGGTTATAATCCCTTTTCTTGCTGTAAGCTGCTGGTCAGCTGGCTGAAAGAAGGGGATTCTTTCCCAATACAAAGAAGACCATATCGTCTGTAAACATGGACATTTATAGGATGCAAACTAACAGAGCTCCATTGATCAATCTTTTTAAAGTTAACCTGAAAACTACATTTAGCAAATTAACAAATAAGGAACAGCCTGCAGGCTGGATAATCAGAGCAGCCAGTCTGGCGGATTTACCGTCAGAACAGGAAATAGATCGGGCTACATTTAAACATTTAAAATAAAACCTTAAAATCAAAAATCTAAATTATAATCTTTATATTTTACATCAAAATTTTACTTATATTTATTTATAAAACACTTGTTTCTAATTATAAGTCACAGTGTGTATAACTGTTGCTTTAGTGTTTTGAATAAAAAGAAAAAGACCAAATTAAACCCTTTTTTTTAACATTTAATATTGTAGATCTCACGCCTGCAAATGAGTTATGCTTAAAAGTGATGCTGTCCCTGATTCTGTGAGGATTTCACCCGATAAAAATTAAATAAAACCAGTCGATAAACGATCAGGTGAGCTGACTATCATTGGTCTGAGTTTATGTAAAGTCCAGCAGAGTTTTCTAAGTGGCTGTTTATTGGGAAACTTTAGGGAACCACGCTGCACGTCTGTTTACAGAGACAGATTACAAAACCAAGGTAAACTTAGCAGAACCTCAATGAAAACTTTAAAACCTGATAATCTTAAATCAGTAAAGCCTCAGAAATGACAAGTTGGTTAATTTTACACCAAATATGCAACACAGATGCCAGAAAAAAGGAGAAGTCATTAAGTTAAGAACACATTAAGAGAAAATTTGTCTTTTTTTGCAACAAAACTCTGCAACTGAATGTTTAAAGCAAACATTCAAACAAGTTCCCCTTTTTCAGCCATGTGTGCCAACTGCCTGAACTTCTTGTTTCTACTGACTGAGCGTCTAATAAAAAACTACAATCCAGATAAAATATGAGAAAACTGCAGCTGGAAAATGGGAACCATTGAAGCTATTTGCATGGTGGAGGAGATGGGACTGAGTCAAAGTGATTTATTGTTGCTGATTGTGAGCTGCCACTTCCTCTCTCCACTATCAGGCTGCAGAGAAAACCGTCCCTGCTGCAGCTGCTTCAGACAGAAACCACTAAATAACTTCAATAAACGTTTCGCTCTGACCTGTATGCTTTTTTCTTTTCTCATGAGTGAAGCTTTTTTTTACAGAACGTCCCTAAAGTGTTGCATGCAGTAAAGCAGCTTGTAAACATGCAAAGGGAGATATGATCACAGAAAGTTTTAAAAATTAAGATTAAACATAAATCCAGAGAGTTGGGGGAATTTTTAAAAACATATTGTTAAATGTGTTTGGTTTTTAGGTTTTAGGAACTATTGAGAAATAAATCAAGAGTTAAATTTAGGAACCAAACGAGTTTCAAAGGCTTTACGCGTGAAATGTCGCAGTAAATGTTTCTTTGGTTTGGTTTAAGTTTCAAACGCAGGAGAAACAGAAAGAAACAAAAAGAGGAAGAGTGATCACCTGACTTTAAAACAATTTCTCTGGTTTGTTTCTCCGGTCAGTTTCCAGCAGCTGGGCTCACCTTCTCCTCCCTGAAGCTGCAGATCTGCGGCTCTTTATTCTAAGCGCAGCAGCTTCTCCTTCCTGAGCAACAGCGACGCTGCATCATTGACGGTTTGAGGAAAAATAAATTAGAATTAAACTGTTTTTAATCCAGAGTCCAAAGAGGGAAAAACATCAAAGGATGAGATCCTGAATGAATGAAGCCAGGAGGAGGTGAAGGAGCAGGAGGTTTGTGATGCAGAGGCTGCAGGAGGAGAGGTGCAAAATAACTTAACTTCCGTCTGAAATGAAAATATAGATTTAAAAAAAACTGGAGCGGCTGATTTACAGGCGCAGCACAGCGCCCCTAGCGGAGCTACACAGTACTGCACTGATTAAAACCCTTCACATATTGTTATAAGAAATTCATGTCCCCTTAATTTGAGCAGGTAAAAAAAAAAAAAAATTCCAAATAAATGATTATCTGAACTTAAAATAAGATCATTAGATATTATGCACTTATATAATGGAGTTTTAGTTTTTCTCCTCAATTTAAACATAAGTCATAATTTTCTATCTGCAAATGGTCTTACATCCTTAAATCAGAGGAAAATAAACTAATTTCAGGAAAAGTTGTCCTACTTATATTTTAATTTGTGCTCTGCATATTTTCAGTTCAAGGGCCTTAACAGGGGCCAGGACCAGAGGCCCCTCTTGCCCCCCAGTCTAGCCGCCCATGATCATAGATAATAATTCACCGATTATAGACGATGGTTCATAATCTCTATTTACCTGACAAAGAACTAAACTGCGGGATATTACACACTGTCATCAGAATAACAAACAGTCAGCAGTTAAGGGTGTGTGTGTGTGTGGGGGGGGGGGGGGTCATTGCTAAGAAGTCAGAAAGATCTACATATCTTTCTATTAAAACCCAATTTCTGCAAAGAGACATAACAGAAAACAGTTTTCACTGACGCTATTGTGATTATAAAATAAAGAATTTAGGTGATTGATTTATAGTTTTTATTTTTATTCATCTCCTCTGAGTGAATAGTTTCTAAAATGTCCTTTAGCTGCAAGAATGCAAGTGTTGATAGGTGTGTTTGTACCTAAGAATAGAATACAACAGAACCAAATAGAATATAACAGATAGAATAGAATGGACTAGAATAGAATACAATAGAATCAAATAGAACAGAACAAAATACAATACAACAGAACCAAATAGAATAGAACAGAATAAAATAGAATACAACAGATATAATAGAATGGACTAGAATAGAATACAATAGAATCAAGTAGAAAAGAACAAAATAGAATAGAACAGAACCAAATATAGCAGAATAGAATAGAATCAAATACAATAGAATAGAACAAAAAAGAACCAAATAGATCAGAATAGAATAGAACAAAATAAAATAGAATAGAGTAGAGTAGAGTAGAATAGAATAGAATAGAACAGAATAAAATAGAATACAACAGATATAATAGAATGGACTAGAATAGAATACAATAGAATCAAGTAGAAAAGAACAAAATAGAATAGAACAGAACCAAATATAGCAGAATAGAATAGAATCAAATACAATAGAATAGAACAAAAAAGAACCAAATAGATCAGAATAGAATAGAACAAAATAAAATAGAATAGAGTAGAGTAGAGTAGAATAGAATAGAATAGAATAGAATAGAGTAGAATAGAAAATACCAATACATCACAGACTTGCTATCAGTGTATCAACCCTCCAGACCACTCAGGTCTTCTGGCTCCAGCCTGCTCTGCAGACCTAGAACCAGAACTAAACATGGAGAAGCAGCATTTAGTTCCTATGCTCCACTTATCTGGAACAAACTTCCAGAAAACTGGAAAAGTGCAGAAAGTCTGAGTTACTTTAAATCAAGACTAAAAACACATTTGTTTAGGATTGCCTTCCACTGTTCTAGTTAAACAGTTCAACTGAAACATCATTAGTTCAGCTTTTGTATTTTCTTTAGTCCAACTGTTTTTAATGTTCTTTTTTGTTTCTGCATTTTTTATTTTTTATTTCATTTTTTTTTATTCTTGCTTTGATTCTGTATTATTTTGTTTTATATTTTAATCATGTAAAGCACTTTGCATTGTCTTTGCACTGAATTGTTCTATACAAATTAATTTGCCTTGCCTTGCCTTGCCTAGAATAGAATAGAATAGAATAGAGTAGAGTAGAATAGAATAGAATAGAATAGAGTAGAGTAGAATAGAATAGAATAGAATAGAATAGAAAAGAATAGAATAGAATAGAATAGAGGGACTTTATTTTCATTGTGTTCAGACCAACGGCCTTGGTGCCTGATTGTGATCTCAAAGAGGAGACAAAAGTAAAATAAAACATAACTGAAATTTAGATTTTTGGAGGGGGGGTCAAAGTAAAAACATTGTAATAAGAATAACCAGAGACTTTTTAAGTGTATCTAATCAGCCCATTTTAAATGTCTAAAATAAATGATGCACTTAAGACAGAAAATGTTGCCCATAGCAGAGTAAATGTCCAGAAATTTAGCTTTTCTTCTTCTCCTGCTGACCAGCTGCTCTCTCTAAGCTGCAGAATGCTGCTGCCAGTATGTGTGCTGGTTTTAATGGTGAGCTTGGGGTTAGTGCATTGTTAGCTGTCAGCTGCATATAGCATTGTAGGCCAAAACCTTCAGCTTCATCTAACCTAACCAGAATACCTTCTCTATGCAGCTCCTACCACTCTACATAAAGGTTCAGCTTTGACTGATCATGTTCTTGTCCTGATTCTTCTACCTGAGCTGTGAATCTCTGCAGCTCCACCAGAGTTACCACGGACCTGTCGACAGCTTCTATGATTAATTCTTTCTTTCCCCGGCCACTTCCTAAACGCTCACTTCCTTTTCTTGTTCTCGTCATGTTCTTAAATAACATCCATGTAGGTTTGTGGTTGTAACATGACAGAATATGAGAAAGTTCAAGAGGTATAAGCACATCTTCAAGGAGCTGTGCAACCATTTTATCTGTCCTACTGCATCTTTGTAGTAATTAAAGTTATAAAAGATCTCAGTTCTGTGTTTTCCATTTTCCCTGCAGCAGAAATAAACAAAGTATTTCCTATTTCTGCTGCTCAGTCCTGGGAAAAAGAAAGAGATTAAAATGATGCTTGAGTAAAAAGAACAGACTGAATATTAAAACTTCCAGTTCTCTGATCTGACTTCCCCCTTCATAAGGGAGCAAAATTAAGCTGCATGACTGGTTCTAAAATTGACCTTTATCAACAAAAATGCACAAACAGCTTTCCTGGTTCTGGGTAAAGAACATTTCGTTGTATATAAAACCGATCATGTTTAAATAGTATTTAACACATAAAAAGTCATAGAAAAGACAATTAGAGAGTTTTATTGACATGAGAAAAGTATAATTTGGCACTTAGGCCCTGGTGGAAGAAGTAAGCAGGGAGAATTATGATATGATTTAGCAGATGAATTAGGATAGAAAGTCCTGTTAGATCAGCGGTCTGCAAATTTGACCCTTAGTCTCATTTTAATGTACTAAACAAGGTGCTTCTCTTTCATTGTAGGTCCCCAGATCAGCGTGATCAACTGCGCCTTCCCTGCCTCTGTATCGATGTAAACAATACCTTGTATGATGGAGGATTTTCGCGAATTTTTTAAAAGACCCGCCCTCTCCACCGTTAAAAAAAGTGCACATGCACAACCCTGTAACGGCTAACCAGAGGGAGCGCCTATTAAAGGGGAACGCCATTTTTTTTTTACATTTGGCCATTTATTTTACGTTATTACATCATGTTCTACTCACCCATATGAGTCTTGTGTCAGTTGGAGCCGTTCTGAAGATATTCTGTTAGGTTATATCCAGTAACGTCTTCCTATGTTCAACGACTTGAAGGCACAAACTGAACTGTTCATCATTTATTCTTTATGGTACGCCAGCATTCAGAACATGGAGGCCAATCACTGTCCCCCAGACATCCACGGTTATATATTTTATATTTATATTTTCTAAAAACGAAGCGGCGCGTGTATGATGTCATCCGTGCGCGCCAGTTACAATTCAATCATCCTGTCAGCTGAACTGCTGCTAGTTTTCCTCCCATGCCTGGAAGATGTCGAGTGCTGCTACCACAGATGATCTCGCTCTCCAAATGGAATTGAACGATTCAGATTATCTAGAATGAATAGAAGCGGTAGAGCGTAGCCGCCTGTGGCCCGGGCTGCCTGTCACTACTCCAGTCCGCATGCGTGGATGACGTCATACATGCACCGCTTTGTTTTAAAAAAATATAAATATAAAAAATATAACCGTGGATGTCTGGGGGACAGTGATTCGCCTACATGATATGAATGCTGGCGTACCATAAAGAATAAATGATGAACAGTTTAGTTTGTGCCTTCAAGGCGTTGCCCAAAGGAAGACGTTACTTGGATATACAGTAACCTAACGGAATATCTTCAGAACGGCTGCGAATGACACAAAACTTATATGGGTGAGTAGAACATGATGGAATAACGTAAAATCAAGGGCCCAATGTAAAACAACTGGCGTTCCCCTTTAAACACGTGCAAGAGCGTGCACGAGCCCATTTCGCCTTGTGCACGCTCTGTTTAAAAGCTGTTAAAAGCTACAAGATTTGCAGTTTTTTCTAAAGTGAAAATGGGGACGAGCAAATAGAACAGAGTTCAGCATACCCCGCCAGACCAGCGTACCCATAGGCAATACGCATGCGCAAGACTTCAAACTTGCATACGTCTGACTCTATAAGTGGAAGGAAGTCTAATAGGCTACCTTATTTATGAGTGATAAACAAGAAGTTGTAGTTGAAGGTAAACACTCAAACTTACCAGAAAAGCAAACCGAAAGTCAAATAGGCTAGTTTATTTATGATGTAATAAACATAAAGTTTTACTCTGGGGTAAACAGAATTTAAAGCTAAACTGCTTTAAACAGAGACAGCCTCGCTTTCTGCGTTCGCTCTGACGTAGCAGCTAACCTCTCTGATTGTCATACTGATCTGCAAATGTAACAGAAGTTGTTTCTGTGCATGCGCGTGCATGCGTATTACTATGGGTATGCTGGTCTGATGGGTATGCTGATCTGACAGAACAGCAGCCTTATGTAAACATATCACCAGAATGATTGACAATTAGGACGACCACTTATTTTGAGGATCCACCCGGAAAAACAACATCCTCCACTATACCTTTAAGGGTCAATAGCAGCACTGAAGCTGATGGTAAATCCATGAACATTTCAAAAACAACTATCTAAAATTGTTGCAATGCAATATTCTAAATCTATAAATATAATCTAAGAACTTTGAAAAAAAGAAAAATCCTCTCCTAACATGTGTCATTGTGCAGCATTAAAGTTTCCTGCACCGTAGTGTTTTGGAAGTGAGCATCCTCTCTGAGCTGTTATTAGATTAAAAGCTCCTGAGCTGCACCATGCATGTCGGCTGCGGCTGTTTCCAGGAAAGTGTGAAGATGAGCATCTGACCTGAATCTCCAAACCGCGTATTGTGCACACAGCAGCTGCAGGTAGATCTCTCACATCCGCCTCGCAGCCTGTTACTCAATACCACAACATGCTCTCACTCACAAAGTGAAGCTGGGCTTCACAGGAAGTGTTGCAGGTGTAAATGTTAACTTACTGCTGCTGATTGAACCAGTAATATCAGCTCCTCTGAAAGCTTTTTATCTACTTCTGTGGTTGTTGTGGACCACAGAAAGCAGAGGATCCTTGCATGAAAATTATTTATTTCACATCGGTCACTGTGCAAACTAGTGAAGAGTGGTCGCAGCCTAGAAAATGTTCATAGGTTTGACCAGGCAGGGGCCAATGTGCACAGAGGAGTGGTCATAAATACACTCACTAAAGATAGACCAGATTTTTAACAAGGCATCCTGCACACATATCTATACATATATGTTGTTTAAGAAAGTTATGGTTCTGTATAATATGTACATTTCTATATACATAGATGAATGGAAAGACAACCTCTTCCCCATAAAACCTAAAATCTAACTCTTAAAAGAGCATGAATTCTTTATAAATTAGACCTCTTTAATTTTAGTATACTTTTGTGAAGAATTCATTGCTTCAATTTTGCTGTCAGTTTAGGTTAATGTACTAACTTTCAAACTTCAAAGTAGAACATTCAAAATAATGATATCACTGCTGCCACCTTCTGGTTTAGAGGAGAACCGCAGGTTACAGAGGCACAAGTTCAATATTATTTATTTTAATAACTATTTATATGATTTATTGTTTCCTAACTGACTCTTTTTTTTTAATAAACTTTATTAGAAAAAGTTTTATAATACAGAAAAAGGTACAATTTACAGTGAACAATCACCAGGGGTTTCAGCAAAAGAAAAAAAGAAAATAAAAAGTAATAATAGTAATAGTAAATAGAAGCATATAAAGGGATTATATAAATACTTTAAATTTAGAGCTTAAAGTTATAGTTTTAGCAGCCTTTTCATTATTGGAGGAGGACAATGTAGTTGCTTCCTTTAGAAAAGAAATACATGAGGGTTTAGTCACAATAATTTTACATTTGTAGATATAAAACTTGGCCAACAGTAACAAAAGTTTACATAAGAAGAAATGTTCAGAAAGTTCTTTTTATATTTTGTGATTCCAAATAAAACATCTTTAAAATAAAGTTCAAATTTACCGTAAATATTGTCCAGAATGAAGCGACAGATACCTTGCCCAAAACGCCTGGTGTGTTCACTGGACCAAAACAGATGAGAGAAAGACTCTGAGTAAATGTTGCAGAAAGTACAAGTGGTATCAATGTCCTTTTTATATTTAACCAAAAATGACTTTACTGGATAACAGCGGTGAATGATCTTAAAGGAAACCTCTTTAACCTTGTTTACTAGTAAATATTTATTAGGTAAAGACCTCCTATCTGACTCCTTGTGAACATTTCTTCTAAAGGCCAGCCATCCTTCTCGAGTATTATTTTTAAGACTAGCAAAATAATTGGCAGATAAGATATACGATCTGAAATGGGGTTAAGAGTACTGACAATATTAGCAGATTCATTATAATTGTAGCAGCTAATATCCTATATTCTAGGCTACTGGTTGTTATTCCTGAAAGGCTTTGGTTTTACATGAGCTCAATAAAGATTATAATGCTGATATTTGACTTAAAATAAAGTCCTTTAAAATAAAAACAATGTCCATAGTTTTACTACCTGCCTTTTACATAAATACATACATTTGACATTGATCTGAACCGAATAAAGTAGAAAACTTGCCTCTTCTCATTAACAGCTGAACAGAGTCATGGTGAACTTTAAATAACCCCATTCCCATCAAACAATTGGAAACTCAAGTGAAAAACGCCCCCTGGTGGCGATAAATAAAGGAAAGGACTAATGGCTCCTACAATAATCTTAAATTAAAATACATCTATGGTTGGAACAATAAAGGCCTTCTATTCCAGCCTCAGCCTGGTTTCTCCTGGGCTACAAACATCATAATAACAGACCATTTATTGTCTTAACTACGTCAAGTTTTCCAGGAGAGGACTCAAGGGGAAAAATGAGGTTACTAAAGCTGTAATGGACACTTCTGCCACTAGATGGCGGTGTTAATGCAGAATTCTGTGACCTCTACAGGAGCCAACAGTGATCACATTATATTTTCTTTTTTGTGGTTTTCCCCACACCTTATGTTTTGGTAGCTATAAACCCCCAAATGTCTGTTGTTCCAGTTGTTACGATTTACCTCCTCACAAAGTAATATCATTATAATTTGTGTGACCATTTCTTGTATAATCCTTTTGCTGCTGTAGCAGAATTTCCCCATCGTCTGACAATAAAGGGACTTTATAGTCAATATATATCTATATCTATATATATCTATATCTATATATCTATAAATATTTATGTATATATATAATTTTTTTTTTTTTTTTTTGCTGTCTGTTGAATCAATATTATATTTTTAGGTAGAGATAAAGCACCTTTTAATTGGAACTATCTTCTATCCTCTCTCTATAACCTCTATTTATGTTTCTAGGAAAGGCTCAAAATTTTCAGATTTTTGTGACTGTTTTGTGTCTGTATAATAACTGTGATCATATTTTGTTCATGTCTAACATAATCTTTATTTGAGAGGTTTGTGTGTTTGAATGTGGGTTCTGATTGTTCTGCGCGGCCATTTTTGGATGTTTGCCATTACACTTTTGCATCTGCCTTGTTTATTTGTCCGTTTGTTGTTTTTCTTTCTTTAAGGATGCCCTTGAAAACAGATCTTTTTTTTCTGGTTTAAATATATAAAATGACTTTATATTGTAAGGATATTTTCTAAGGATGCTAATTTTCTTGTTATGTGTGTGTGTGTCCTATATGCACATTCTGACCCAAATATCATAAAATTTCATTATGGACTCATAATGAAAGTAAATATTTGTCATTTTTTGATGGTTTCAGCACAGTTCTAGAAAGAATATGACTCTTGTTGAAACTCCAGATTACCGTTTCTGCATTTTTTCATCATTAACTTTAAATCTGCCACAACAGCAGTAGGTCTCAATGTCCCGGAATATAAAGAAAGAAAGCATCTGATATTGGTTTCTGTTTTCAGATGGAAACAGACACTTGTTTTTTTCATTTGTGGACTAACTTTAATTATCTTTATATAAATTTTAAAACAAAGTTTTGATATCTTAGGTCTAATTATTCCCCAATATTTACTGCAGTCTGTCGCAGAGGTAAGATTTTTATCCAGTTGATTTTTCTCACATTAATAGAACATTTTTGTTGATCCCTTTATGAAAACCTGGTTTACTGGAAAAAAATGTACGAAAAAAATGGTTTACTGTATCAAACGATGAAGTAAAACAAAAAAAAACAAAAAACACTGCTACTACCCCTCCCCCATCCAGGATGGATTTCATTTCTTCTATTAAGTAACAGCATACTGTCTCAATTGAAAAACATTTTCTAAAACCAAACTAACGAGAATTTATTTTCCTATTTTGCAAACAATATTTCTTCAACCCCTGAAATGTACTTAAATAAAACTGTCTTTAATAACGGTTAGGGGAGGGTACAATATTTTGCAAAGAACATACAGAGTGAATTGTATTAACATAATATTCAGGCTGTTTACATATTTCCAAACCCAATAGATCTTCTGATTGCTTCTGTGAGAAGAGCCATCATGCTCTCCTCATCTATTACATATGTGGGAAGGCTCAGAGTCAGGGAGGATGTTGAAGCGTATGGATAAGAGCACTCGCCGCACTGTGTATCAAAAAAGTCCACCTGCAGTGGTTTGGCGAAGCCGAGGAGGGGAATTTCATCGGCTCCGGTCCAAAACGCTAAAATGTCTTCAAAAGAGATGGGTGCTTCACCTTCTGAAAACACAAGGGCTTTAAAGTTTTATCCACTTTCTCATTAATGTTCAAACAGATGAATAAAAACCTACCTGCGATTGTAACGAGGTTACTCTCAAATAAAAACATGGTTTCTTCCTCTTCCGCTCTTTTAGCTGAGTCTACGTTACTCCACTTCACATAGTAAAGAGCCTTGAACTCCTCCCTGCTCAGTGGCTTTCTTTTTGTGGAGAGCTTCTGGAACACCCTCCTATTTTTCTTCACCGTCTCCCAGAGAAATCCACCGGAGTTGAAGCCCTCGTTAAACTGGTCTATCATGCACCTTGGCCTGCATGAAATAACAATCTTGGTGTCATTGTAAAAGTTCACTTTATCTAACCTTTAAGCTTTATATTAAGAACAACTGTGTATCCCTGAACACCTGGAACCAAACGCCTGTGGTGTATATATAAGTGTGCTTGTGTATATTAAGCCAAAAGGCTCCTTCAGTGGGAAGATATGCTCAATGGCAGGTGTGAGGGGCCCCAGACCCACCCTCATATATCAGGAGGCTGACACAGAGGAAACCAGAGCCCCTGGTATCCAAAGCAACCCCAGAGATAAGGGACAAAGGGAGTGCAGATTGAGGGACGGCAGCACCCTCCAAGATCCATAAGGCTATGGTACGGAAGCCCAGAGGAGCTTCAGCAACGAGCCCAATAACCTTGTGGGCCTAGAAACCTGAGACCCAGAGGGCACCACCATGAAATGGAGATCCAAAAGGTCCAGGACACCCGAGGCTGACTCAGCATAAAACAATATCTTTAAAAAAATGTACCCAAAGATTTCGGCCATCACAATGTTTGCATGTGCCAGGAAGTAACTGCTCTGGTACATGCAAACAATCTGTCATGATCTGCCACTCTGGTTCTGTAAGTTTTCAGATATGTTTTATTTTTTTATTCTGTTGGTCAACATTTACATCATTTTTGCCATTATTTATTATTATTATTATTATTTATTCCTTCTCTTATCTTTAGGTTATGTTTTCCATGGCTTCAGTTATCTACAGTTCCTTATCTTATCCTCTAGTTTTCCCCTTGGTTTGTCCTTATTTTGTAGTTAATTATTATTCCCCTTTACCTTTATTTAAGTTTCTTTCTAGGCAACAAAGAGTAAATAGTTTCCCTGGTTGTTCTTTGTTGCCCCCTGGTGTTCTATTCCTTTCCCCTTGGCTCCTTTCTAGCTGCTTCTTTCCACACCTGCTCCCAATTAACTGATTACTCCATCCTTGGTTCTGTCTCCCATATATATAATCCTCCTCTGCAGTTCATCAATGCTGGTTTCTTGTTGTTGCTTTGCTCCCTATGTGTTGTTTCTCTCTGGCATCTCCTGGTTTTTGGCAATTGTATTTTGTTTCTGTTGCCCTGTCTGATTAAATCTGCAAGAACCCATCTCTGCCTCCTCTCTGCATTTGGGTTCTCTACTAAATTCCACCAAACCCTGACACATTCAAAACATGAGAGCCTTAAAACAAGAAAACAGTACAGAATTCAAAAGGAGATCTTTAAATCGTATTGCATAAAACATAAATTAAAGCCGCAAGCTGCGTTGGGCAGCCTTCACAGCTCAGCCTATTGTGACCGCGGGACTTTTGCAGTTTCATCCCCATACATACTCCATTATGTCCTTAATCCAATGTTCCTGCAGCAGTTCTAGCCATTTCCTACCCCAAATGGCACGCATAAAAATGCAAGGGCTTCCAACAGTGAAACATGAGACTTCATGATCTAAGAGGGCGGGGCTAAACTGATATCTTCAAATCTATTTGTGGTTTTTCAAGATGATACACAGAAAAAATGTACTCCTCTTACCTTGCTTATTGAGGTTATAAAACCATGTTGTAAGTTTTCTTATTTTACTGTTCAAAAATATAAGTGATTTTAATTCAGACTTATGTGCAGCCCTGTTAGCCATGCATGTTGACTAATTTGAAAAACCAGGAAAGCTGCCTGCATGGAGGTGTAGTTTGTAATACTGCCTTCTGGTATGATGGATATCATGGGTTCGATCCCAGACAAGGCATTTATGAATTTAAAAGTTTTTAAGTTTGAGGAGATGTTGAGTAAAGGGCGGATTATACTTCTGCAATCGCTCACATAAAATGTTGTTTACATCTGGTCGCAAACCAGTTCTGCTGGTATGCTTCTGCAACGTCAGTCAATTTCTAGGGACGCACAGCAGTTTCCCACCAAAGCACTAGGGGGAGCATATTCGAGAACTCGCAAGAACTTCGGCGGATGGTCAGGAGAACTTTTTCGGCGGCAGCAGCGGGTGTTTATTTTCCAAAACAACAATGGAGTGTCAGGAAGATATCACGGTCATAAGGATGGATCTAGCGTTGCCAGACATCGAAGAGGAACAGGTTCTGTTAATGAAGTTGGCAAAAATACAAAGGCGGATACGTAAGTGGTCTGTACGCCCCATGAATCAGACCAGGGATGAGACTGGGGAGTTTCGACCCGGCACCAAATCGAAGGACGACCGTACAGACGGCCGGAAAGGCATACCAAGGACTAATCACAGCTTCTTTTTGTCTGCGTGTGTTTGCGACCGTCTGACCCGTAGTCAGGATTTTTTTGAGGTGCGCAACAACGGTTGCAAAACCTCTGTGCAGGGGGCGTGGTCGCACACAGAGACAGATTTGACGGTTGCAGATGCTATGCGTCAGAAGTATAAATTGGCCTTAAAGTTCATCAACCAAAAGGAGTTAAAATTTTTAGCTTCACTTTTTGGGGTAAATTCTATAGGACATTATTTATAATGCACATTATAGCGTTAATTTGTGTATTTCCTGAAAAAAAGGATTTTATTGACGAAATAATGTAAAAGATACTTATTTGATGAAACACATGATTTATTGTAAAAGTCTTAGAATGAATAATTTTTTTGAAAACTTTGTATTTTCTACAATAAAACACATAACCGAGGGGAATGAAAAAGTGGACATCACAGTCTGAAATCCATCTGCTAATTTCCCATACGAATAAGAAGAACACATCTACCTTATAGATATGGAAGCCTGCTGATCTCTTGGCTGAAAACTTGAAACACTCTGATCTGAACCCTGTTAAAACACAGAAAACAAGTTTAAATATGACTGACTTGTTGTTTGGGTAGTATGTTTAGTTAGTAGTAGGACAAGAGGTGTTAAGTAGAATAATAAATAAAAAAAATTGAATCTTAATGGGATTAAGATTCAAAATACCAATCACAAAGCCTCTGCACAATAAAAGGCTCCACCAATTCAGAAGAACAGAGGATGGTTATTTAATTAGCATCTGACTTGGAATGTGTGCAGGAGGCTGGACCTCAATGCTGCTTAAAGAAAATCAGCGCTCCAACTAGAGTTTGCTCTGGAGCGAACTGACAGAATAGACAAAGACTCCTGGATAGGTGTCGAAACAAACTCAGCAAAAGTCCAGTTGCCTTCCAATTTAAACCTGTTTGTGGTTAAACTGGAGCAATTATTTCAGTCAAATTTTCACCTGCACACTGTCATGCATTTATCCGTATTCTGAACTACTGATTAAAAACATTTCACGATATTTGTGTTGATTCAAAATAAGGCTAAATGGACCTTAGAGTAAAAAATATTTATAGGCAAATATCCAATTCATTATCTTACTTTTATATAACTCTTGAACCTCCAGCCACTAGTTGGCATCGCACCATCAAATAACCTATTTTTAAAACAACAACAAGCTCTGAGATTTTTCAGAGCCATAATAAAAACATCGTAATTTATCATCTTTGTTAATGTATCCAGAAATATCCAGATAAATTGTATCATGCTGCCTATTGTATCGCCAATTCATGACCGAACTACTTATGCTGTTCAAAAGGATCTCATCCTTTAATGAAAACAAAGATACCACCCAGATTTATCGCATCATCACCTTGTTTTATGGATAAATGCAAAGAAATAAACATATAACTTCAACATTCTAATACTTTATGCATGATCGATTTTAAAACAGTTTAATGCAGAGCTCATGCCACACATAAGGAAGGACATGATACAAGTCATGATGCCTAAAATGACGAGGTTTGTCAGGGAGACTCTCAGGTAAGTCCCAGGTAAGCTCCAGTGAAGAGGTTTAGTGAAAAATACCAGACAGCTTGGGAGATGAAGAACAGCACATGGATCATGGATGGAGCCACAGGAAGTACAACAAGCAGGCAACAAGTCGGGCAACAGAACAGAAAAAAATTATATAACAGGAACATTTCAAATATAAAATTAACTCTATAATAGGAGCAAAAATGCAAAACAAAGGACTAATATCAGAACCAGAAAAGGCTTTTACAAGCATGAGAATTGTGCTTTGGTGATAAGCTGCTTCACAACGACAAACATACAGCTGACATAAAGAGATCTGGAAATAATATGGAATGAAGAAATGCAATGTATAGGAATTAAAAAGAACATAGAAAACGGCTGCACCGTTTTGCAGAGGAAGACACAGATGCCTTTCATTCATAGGCAAACAAACCCGGTAAAAATCACAACAGTGGAAGCAGGTTTTTCTCCCTTTGACAGAAACGTACATTTCCTAGACTGGTTCGTTGTTGCAGAGGTGACGGCATTTCTGCCACTTCATCACTCCCACAGCCGTGGGAAATGTCACTGTTACAATAAATGAACACAAGAAAAAAATGTAATAATTAATTAATAATTAAGTGATATAGCACACTGTGAGTACGTGAGAATGACCATCCCTATGCACATTACACATGATTACAGTTACTAATGTATACTGTGTCATCTAAGACATTGGATAAAGGTGGTCAGTTTGTGTGAAGTGTATTAGGAACTATTTAAATATATTCTAAATAATAAATGCTGTCTGCGCTAAATGTCCATAAAACGTACTACTGTATGAGAGCTACACAGCAGCAGCAAACAGATCTGCTTTTTCCACGACATCAAACTTCATTAACTCCTTCTTCAATCTCTAAATACCGACTCAGTAAAATAAAATAACATGCACAAAGAATATGCTTAAAAAAATGCCATATATTAGCAATATACTGTATATTTGCTTGCTTGTCTCTAGGCAACTGTGACAGCAGCTGATGCGAAGCTGACAAGGTCATGCTTTAAACCCACATGGATAATTTAGGTAGCTGTAGTAGTTCCTGCAATGTTTTTCCTTACTTTTTGTTAGATTTAGTGTTGATGTGAATTTGACAGACAAGTGTATTGGAAATTAGTGGATGGACATTAGTCTGAAATACATTTCTGTAATTATTTTCTATACAATCAGGAAGAAAAATCCACCTCACAGATGTGGAAGGATGCTGATATCCTGATCCAGAACTTGAATTACTCTGATCAGAAACCTGCAAACATACAGAAAACAGGTTTGCAAGTTTAACAATGACTGACTGATGACAGTAGTAGGACAAGAGGTGTCGTATAAAAAAGTAAAAATACTTTGATTCCTTACATAAGTAAGTGAGAATTTAAGTAATCTATAATCCACTTTGGCAGAACAAGTTATTTACAGTATGTAAAATATGTCAATTCAATTCAAAATGTTGTATATGAGAGTAAAAAAGAGAAAAACATTAGAGTTTCAGCACTTCTACTGTTTTCTTTGAGTTTATTCCATTTTCATTTCATTCTTAGGTAATTTATGCTTTCCATATTAAATAACATAAATATGTTTGTGGAAGTTAGTAAGGAAACAAGATAAATACAAAATAAAAACATATAATAAATCTGTATTTATAAAAATGGATTTAAATTTGATGAATTGGGAACAAAAATTAAAGTCAGACGGACTTAATTAGTTTTACTGCTGCTTTGATGAGCTCCGATAGCTCAGTGTGAAAACCAGCTGATCCCAGGCTGTTCTCTACATCCAGTCTGTTCCTCGGCTTGGTTTGGATGCGTGTCAAAGATGAAGGTGAACTCAAACATATAAGAATAATTTTTGGTTGATAAAAGCTTGTTTAATCTTTCATTTGGGGTCTCACAAAGCAAAAGAAATCCCACCCGTGTTTTATTTTGCTACCTAAGAAATAATTTTTACGTATCCCTTGCAATGCACTCGCAGACCACTAGGGGTACGAGTACCCTGTAGGGAATCACTGATCTAAATACCAGTTTTAACCACATGGGTAAATATACACAACTAAATATCTCTGCAGGTTGAGCTAGACACAAATTAGAGTAAAAAATGACTTTATATGAATGACTATGAATGAATGAATGAATGAATGAATGAATGAATGAATATGAAAGAATGAATGAATGAATGAATGAATGAATGACTATGAATGAATGAATGAATGACTATGAATGAATGAATGAATGAATGAATGAATATGAAAGAATGAATGAATATGAATGAATGAATGAATGAATGAATGAATGAATGAATGAATGAATGAATGAATGAATAGGAATTTATTTCAGACAATATATAGCTGTTTATTTTGAATTAGGAACAGAACTTTAAACATTTCCTTTTGATAAAAAATATATATACATATATATTCATCCTTACTATTGCATAGCTAAATAACCTATATAATGTATTTAGAGTAATTCATAGCTTTATTGCTGTGCTCATATATTAATTTATTTAATAATTAAGGAGTCAATTTTTTTCAAATAAGTTTATTTAGTCGATAATGGGTTTTTGATTAAATGCAATTAATTGTGATGAAAAAATAAAAGACTCTCAATTAGATATTTTATTCCAGTTCCACTGCTATTTGGAATAATTTTTTGGTTGAGTAAATACACAACTGCAGATCACAGTCATTGCTTGGCTGAGTGATCATCAAATGGACACTGTGAGTTAAAGCATAACTAGATTTGGAGTCTTTTCTTACTTGGAGGACATCCCGGTCGGCTGAGCTGCCGTCGTACAGGAAGATCTGTCTGGTTTTGGAGATGGAGTTGGTTTTGTAGAAGTCCACCAGTTTGTTCAGTGAGGGGAACTTCTCCAACCACAGGAAGTACTGGCCCTCATTGTCTCTCATCACCTTGAAGTGCTGGACGTGGTTCTCATGTCTGAGGAGGGACAGACAGACACCTCTGTCAGCTACAGAAATAAAAACTGCACATGTGCTCCTTTGGCCGGGCGGCTTTAACCCAGCAACCATAGTCATCAATAGTGTGCTAACTAGACAAATTGCAATGCATGTCTTCATGTAACCAGTTGTATTTTTAATGACTTATTAATAAATGTATTTGTAGTTATTTTTGACCTTTTGTGACTAAACATTGTTTGACAAGCTGACTGGCACCTTAGTAGTTCAGCGCCGATGCATCTATAACCCTGTAACCTATTTTCCCTTAATGTGCTTCGTGTCACAAGTTCCCACAATCCTCTGTGGATGTGACGTCAAATACATCCATGTTAAATAGTACCAACCTACTGTAGCAAACCATCGAAGCATTATATTCTAAATGTATTTTGTAAATACTAATCGAGCTCAAGCTACTAGAACGAGCAGGAGATTATTCAGAGATTTGATTAGGCTTCCTTTCATCTGTTTGCTGATGATATTCAGCTTTTCTGCTTTTTTAAAGGCTGATTTATACTTCAAAACCAGGACCTCTGCATAGATGTCGCAGTGAACAAAAAGATGTCCCCGCCCCGTCCGCAGACACTCCGCTGCACCTCTCCTAAATTGTAACTGACAGCAGACAGTTCAGCAGACAGGAGGAAGTTTGACCAGATAGAAGATTGAGGTGCAAAAGAACGCTTAGGCCCTTTTTCCACTTGGAACCCCGCTCTCTTTCGCCCTCATCTTCCTCTGCTGTTGGACTAAACTCGCCCCCATTTCCTGCAGGATTATAACCAGCCCTTAGGTCCTCGGAGACCAAGAAGTTAAGCTCTCTGCTGAAATGTCTTGCACAGGTTAAAACATGGCTTGGTGCAAATTCCAACTAAACTAAAATCTATTTAGGGACAGTTTTTCCTCTCCACTGTCGCTACAACATGCTTAGTGTGAGGGATTGCAACTCTACTAGATGCTATTCCAGGTATCCACCATTATCAGAGCGACTTTAGTTTGTCTGCTAAACCAAGCCTTAGAGACATAGACTTTAACTTTGACAAAGCATTGACCTTAGCACAGGCGTAACTTTCTGGAGGACCGGTGTGGACATATGCCCACCAACTTTGGCCTGGTGGGGACAGTCCCCCCAGTTGGGAATCACAGATCTAAAAGACAGTTTTAATATCTGCACACTGAACTAGATTATAATTTTAAAAAGATTACTTTATATAGCTGTTTATTTTGAATTAGGAACAGAACTTTAACCCATTAATTTTGATAAATTAATTATGCAGTATTTGAATGACCTAAATAATGTATTTAAAATAAATAATATTTTTGTGTTAATTTATTTAATAATTTTTTTTTTATTTCATTTGTTTATTTGGTAGGGACAAGTGTTGGGATCTGGAGGTCTGTCCACCTTTCTCCAGCAGAGGGCGCCCTAGGTCTCCTGGAGCTGAGCTGACGACCACACCTGCGGCTCATCAGTCATCAGGAGTCCAGCATATAAGCAGCGGCAGGACTGCACTCCAGCGCCAGAGTGTTAAGCCAGTTATGGTTAGCGAAGCCTGAGCCAACCAGCCGGTCTGATTCTCTGACTCCCCTGAAACCTGAAACCTGAACCTAATTAGTTTTTGTCTTCTCTGCTTCTTAGGAAGAAACCTGACTGAACCCTGGAACTCTGGAAGAGTTTCCTCTGCTGGAATCTGCCTGTCGGCTCTCAGGAGCTCATCTGAAGAATCTACTGTCTGAACCTGCCTGCCCGCCCTCAAGAAGAGGATCGAAGGAAAAACTCTGGACCTGAACACTGATAAGTCTGAAGTCGAGCCCTGCCGTTGCTTAGCCCTCTGCCAACTACTAGCCTCGGACCCTCCTGGTTCCCTCCCTCTGCTGCTCAGCCTGAATCACGTCACAGAGAAACCTGTGTGACCAGTCCCAGATCTGTTTCCCAGCATCAGTGCTTAACTTTGTTTCTTAATAAACAGTCAAACTTTTCATCAGTCTCCGTTGTGTTCTGCATGTGGGTTAGGAACCTGAATCCCATCATGACAACAAGTATGTTTCATGAATCATGTCACACACTACAACATTTTAGCTAAGGCGAATTCTCAATGCCGGTCCCCAGTTAGGCTTTTATACAAAACACAGTGAAATGTACACAAGCCACAACAGAGCAAATTACACACTAAAACATCACAGATACAAGATCAGGTCAGTTAGATTATTAATGTTCACATGTCTCACCTCTCAATAAAAAGTCTTTAAGTTTATGTTTAAAAAGGACCCAGTTTGACTCTCCCTACAGTTCTGCAGGTCATGTATTCCATGTTTTGGTGCCTTGTACAGTGAAAGCTGATTGACTGAAGGAAGTTTTGCATCTGGGTAGGAACTGAGAGGAACTACACAGTCACTCAAAACCTCAGGGGCCTGATCATGCAAGCAGTTGCATGCAAACCAGTTTTAACTGAGAAAATTTGACAAACTTCTCAAAATTTAGCATTTTTTTTATTGTTCAGACTAACACAGTGATGGGACCTGATTGGTTTTTTATCTAAGATATTTATAGATCTATTGTATATCATCTGAAGAGGCTTGATAGTAGTGCTTGCGGCCTGTGACCAAGAACTAATGCGGTAACTTAGATGTGATGTTTTGGTTTGGTTTGAATTCAGGAGCAAAAAGGGTTTTTGGAATAAAAAGTTTGACGATATTGTCGATAATTATTTTGGCATACTGCAGAGGAGTATTTAATGCGAAAGAGGATTAGGGCCACTGAAAAAAAAAAAGTTAACAGATTTTTTTATTTTATTTCAGTTTAGTATGGGAAAAAAGTCAGAATTCTGACTTTAATCTCATAATTCTGACTTTTTTCTCAGAATTCTGACTTTAATCTCAGAATTCTGACTTTAATCTCAGAATTCTGACTTTAATCTCAGAATTCTGACTTTTTTCTCAGAATTTTGACTTTAATCTCAGAATTCTGACTTTAATCCCAGAATTCTGACTTTAATCTCAGAATTTTGACTTTAATCTCAGAATTCTGACTTTAATCCCAGAATTCTGACTTTTTTCTCAGAATTCTGACTTTAATCTCATAATTCTGACTTTTTTCTCAGAATTCTGACTTTAATCTCAGAATTCTGACTTTAATCTCAGAATTCTGACTTTAATCTCAGAATTTTGACTTTAATCTCAGAATTCTGACTTTAATCCCAGAATTCTGACTTTAATCTCAGAATTTTGACTTTAATCTCAGAATTCTGACTTTAATCTCAGAATTCTGAGATTAAAGTCAGAATTCTGAGATTAAAGTCAGAATTCTGACTTTAATCCCAGAATTCTGACTTTTTTCTCAGAATTCTGACTTTAATCTCAGAATTCTGACTTTAATCTCAGAATTTTGACTTTAATCTCAGAATTCTGACTTTAATCCCAGAATTCTGACTTTTTTCTCAGAATTCTGACAGCTAACAAACATGTTAGCATCCAGCCATAGCCATGTCTGTTTTCGAGACTAGCTCTCTTGTTTTAATGACCTTCTGCTCCTCCATTAATGAGGGGACGCCTCTGGCACGTAAAAGTTGACTAATTCCGTCATTTTCCACCAATGTGTCACTGGCCACCTCAAACAACTCACATCTTTGTCAGAGAAGCTGAGTGCTCCACATCTCTACCTTCATGGTGCCCATCTGCATTAAGATCCAAAATTCTGAGATTAAAGTCTGAATTCTTAGGAAAAAAAATAAAATTTTAAAATCAGTAAACATTTTTTTTTTCAGTGGCACTAATCCTCTTCCGTAATTTAAGGCTTTCTATCAACGGTAGCTTTTTCTAAAATGGTTCAAAGGTTGCCAGACAATGGGCCTAGATTGAACTTTTCTACACGTTCACCTACTTGACAGAGATGGAGAAGTCTCCTGGGGAGCTCTGGCATCCTCGGATCACAAAGTCTCCGACTGTTTTGTGCCTCAGTAGATCCTCTGCATGGCTGCGACTGGCGTCCTCCTTAAACCAACTAAACAGAGATTCCCCATTATTATCTCACATGCTCAACACACACTTCTTTATGGTGTTATTTATCATCAGCATGATCTCATTAAAACAGCTCAGCAACAGTTAGATCAAAGGTACTCTGTTTTCGTGCTGCATCTTTTATTCCATTTACATAGGCAGTTTCATTCTGCCGAGGCATCGTTCTCTTACTCTGGAGTCTGCAGATCGATGTAGTTCTTAGGTATGAATCCTTCCTGTCCATTCATCTCAGCCTTACACCAATCATCCTCATGGTTTATAATCTAACCAGAACAGAAACAGAGACAGGGGAGGTTTTATACAGAGATTAATAAGCACAGAGACAGATTCTGTCAGCATCGCATGCACTGACCTTGAGAATGTCGCCCTTTTTAAAGCTGAGCTCGTTTTCCGAAGTGCCGGAAAAATCGTATTTTCCTCTGGCCTCCATTTGGATCTTCTTAACCGCCAATCAAACAGGAACAGGAGGTATTAGATGATATTTCAAAAATGAGGAAGACTTTTCTCTGCAGGGAAGAAGAAAAATAGAATAGCTCCAATATAAAAGCACACAATTAAAATTCCAATCAAAACAGATCCGTTTGATGTAACATGATTAACTTTTCTTAAACCAATTTTTGGGGCTTTTGCAGGTCTGTAATTTTTTTTTTTTTTTTTTTATAAGAAAATATAAGAGAAAAGCTCCTTGAATAAGTCCCTAACTTAAGGGCTTTGTTAGTCTTTCTCTGCAGATTTTCACCACTCGCTTCAGCCCGCCGAATCCGTTCAACTGCCTCCTCTTCCAGCGTGTCCAACTGCAGCCTACTTGTTAGTTTTCATTCACTCTATGTCAGTACTATTCCACGATAGATTCATCCTTTTTAATTTGGTTTATTTATGTAATTTTATTTATTTATTCTGAAACACTTCCCTAGGCGTGAAACTTTTTTACAATGTTTTGCCACTATGATAAATGAACCTGTTACAATAAAAAATAAATTATCTGCTCAATAAAATTCAGGTGATTAAATGTGCTCAATAATTTATGTTGCTTGTTTGCTTGCCTTGTTTCAGAAGGTGGCTGACACTGAGCCTGCAGATTCAGAGTGAAGTGCTCTGAATTTACTAGTGGTTCCTAGAATTTCTAAAAGTAGAATGGGAGGCAGATCTTTTAGTTATCAGGCTCCTCTCCTGTGGAACCAACTACCAGTTTTAGTCCGTGAGGCAGACACCCTGTCTACTTTTAAGGCTAGGCTTAAAACTTTCCTTTTTGATAAAGCTTCTAGTTAGAGTGGCTCAGGTTATCCTGAGCTATCTCTATAGTTCTGCTGCTATAGGCTTAGACTGCTGGAGGACATAGGGACCCCTTTTTCATCATTCTGCTTCATTCTATCTCTATTCTCCCACTCTGCAGAATCTGTTAGTTCAATCTCTAACGTTCTGCTCTCTCTGCTTTTTCTCATAGTAGCTTCATCTGGTCTGTTCCTGTTTGGCTGTGACTCCATCCTGGAGAGAAATATCAGCTGTGCTGCTGCCATCAACACCTTTGTTTCTAGATGTTGGAGCTTGGCCTGTTTTCCAGTGTAGTCCTGTTTCTCTGACTGTGACTAACTGGATGTGCTCTCTTCATCCTCTGACATGGGAGCTGGCTCGGAGCTCGTCTGCCTGGCTGTGTGTTTCCTGGACGGGGCCGCCTGTGGAGCTGGTTGACAGTTGCCTTTTGTATCTATGCTTCTTTTTCTATGTCTGCTTCTGTCTCCTTGAACCCCAGTGGGCCTCAGCAGATGGCCGCTCACACTGAGCCTGGTTCTGGTCCTGCTGGAGGTTTCTTCCTGTTAAAAGGGAGTTTTCCTCTCCACTGTCGCTACAAGCATGCTTAGTGTGAGGGATGACGAGTCAGTGAGTCGATGCAATCAACTGGTTTGATGCAATCAATGGGTTTTCCTTAGATAGAAATCTTTGAATCAATCTGACTTAATGATCTGCTTGAATTGTCTCTGTAAAGTGCTTTTAGATGACATGCGTTATGAATTAGGGCTATATTAATAACTGAATTGAAAGTGAGAGCCTCGTGGCTGAGAAGCAGCAAACCAGGCGAATGCTATATAAGATTTGGAAAAGCAAATATCAAATTAGTTTCAAACATGACAGCTCCATTTTGTGAGCACTTTAAATTCAAATCTAATGACAATGTTATTGTTCATCACAACAATTTCTGGGTCAATTTATGGTTCAGCAAAACTGTTATTGCAAAACTGAAGGGTTAAGGAAGCCATCTTTGTTAACCTTCGAAAAACCATCTGTCAAAAGCGGATGTGGCCTTAGTCAAAACCTTTCACCAACCTACAAAGCACTTTTAGGAACAATACCCAGAAGATTCACCTCCTACCTGCCTTGATCTGACTCACACTTCAATGAGGTATGTGACCAAAACCACTCTGGCGAGGGAGTTAGCGACCCATCAGAACCCCCAAACGACCATTAACCCCATTAACCTCCTAATGACCATTAACATCACCCATGCAACTTACCGAGATGATCAAAGGGAATAAATCAGCTATGCATCATCTGCTGCTGTCAAACCTATTTCAGACTATTATAACTATTTTAATTAAGTCGCATAGCCTCTACAACCGTCAAATCTGTCACTGTGCACAACCACGCCCCCCCGCAGAGGTTCTGCAACCATCATCGGGCACCTCAAAAAAATCCTGACTACGTGTCAGACGGTCGCAAACCCGTGCAGACCTCAAGTGGAAGTGCGCAGACAAAAAGCAGCTCTAATTGGTCCTTGGTATGCCTTTCCGGCTGCCTGTGTGGTCGTCCTTCTTAATTCGGTGCCGGGGCTCGCCATTTTTAAAAACCGAGTAACAACTACAATGGACAACTACGACGAAAGGTTAATCGAGGAGGTTCAGATGTACAACCACTTGTATGATGACAAATGATATAAAGATGCTAAGGTCTCTGCCAAAACAAAGTTCTCATGACCATCCGCCGAAGTTCTCGCGAGTTCTCAAATAGGCTCCCCCAGCAGTTTCCCTAGCTTTGGCGGGAAACTGCTGTGCGTCCCTAGAAATTCCAGACCGACGGTGCAGAAGCATACCAGCAAAACTGGTTTGCGACCAGACCCAAGCGACATTTGGTGTGTGCGGTTGGAGAAGTATAATCTGCATTTTAGTTTAAGACACCTTTGCAGCTTCTCTTCTTTTACCCTCCCATTGCTCCATCTCAGAACTGCATGTCCACAGCTAAACTCAAATAAATTACAAAAGAATCAGAAAGTAAACAATCTTGATAATCTAACACAAATTAACATGACTCCAATTAATTAAAGAAATACATTTGGTTTATTAAACATAAGATCTTTCTCGTCAAAGATTTTGTTGGTTAATGACTTAATCTATAATAACAAGATGGATTCATGTTGCTTTACAGAAACTGACTGCAACAGGAGAATTATGTTAGCATAAATAAGGAAACTAGCTTCAGCTTTTAAAATTTGAACAGGACAAAATGTTTCCGCCCGGAGAGGGAGTAGGGACTGGTTATCTCCAGTTAATCAATCACCAGTTAATAATTCTTTTGAACATTTAATCCTTAGTCTTTCCATCCAAATTGTAAAACTTAGTCTGTGTGTAACTGTATTGTTCACCAGGTCCTTACTCTAAGCTTTTATATCAGTTTTCAGACTTCCTTTTTGATTTAGTAATAAATACTGACAACGTCATTATAATGCTGATTTTTAAGGTGATAGCTTAAATGCAATCTTTAAAGCTATCTTAGGCTCAACTTGGTTTGTTCAAAATTGCATATTCCCACGCATTCTAATCTTCATACTCTGGACCTTGTACTGACATTACTGACAGTCATATTTTATTAATATGAAGCTGCCACCCTGGTTTCATATAGAGCTGCCTACTTTGAAGCTTAATTTCAATAAAATTCAAAAATGCTTTATTAATCCCCAAGGGACATTAAATGTTGCGATAACTCATAAGTTATTTTTTAAACAGATGTTGTAGATGTTGATAGCTGTAGGTGGGAAGGATCTTCAGTTGGGGTCTGTCATTTAAAAATCTTCTGATGAGGATGATCACTGTCAATAATGTTCTTCACTTTTTGAAGAATTCTTCTTTGCAAAATGATCTCCAGAGGTTCTAGAGGAGTTCATAGAACAGAGCCGGCCTTCTTAATTAGCTTGTTGAGCTTTTAAAGCATTTAAAGCTAGGAAACTGGAGAGCAAATTGTGCTCTACTCATCTACAGGAATCTTACTTAAACTATAAAATCAGCTTACTGTTTTATAAAATGACCCTTTCTAAAATAAGAGCAGTATATTTGTCTTCATTAAATATGAGAATAAGAATAACAACAATAATCCTAGATTATTAGAGAGTTGCCCCGTTGAGCCAGTCTCCTTTCCCCTAGCTCCCTTCTAGTTGCATCTATCCACACCTGCTCTCTATCGGCTGGTTAGCCCATTCTTTGTTCTGCCTCCTATATAAACATCTCCTGTGCAGTTCCTTATTGCTGGATTCTCTTCATTGTTTATGTATGGTTCTCCTTGGCATCTCCTAGTTTTGCTTACCTATTTCTTATTACTTGGTTTGTGCTTCTGTTACCATCTACATCTAAATTAAGAATAGATGATCTCTGCCTTCTCGTTTCTGCATTTGGGTCCTTAACTAACTTCCACTAAACCTGAGTTATTCAAAGACCTGACAGTTATTTTTATCAGGACCGGCCATTTAAATACTATATCAGAGAGGTTTTTAAAATGACCTTTCTTCATCTCTGGAATATTTCAAATATTTGAAATATCCTGTCCAGGGGTGATGTTGAGAAACTAGTCTGTGCATGTTGTTCTTCAAGGCTGGACTATTGTAATTTTTTACTATCAGGAAGTCCACAAACTGCATTTAAAAGCCTTTAGCTGATCCAAAACGATACAGCTAGTGCTCTGATTAAAATTAAAAAGATAGTTCCTCCTATTTTACTGGCTTCCTAATAATTCCAAAATATAATCTTAAATGCTGTCTTTAAATTAAAAAACCCTAAATAGCCAAGATCTTGATAAATCTCCATCTTATATCAGAGATCCTTTATCCTTTAAAGTGCCTTGAGATTAGATTTGTGTTCTGAACAGTTGCTATCTAAATAAACTGAAATGAACTGAAACAAAGAAATGTTGCTCATCATGCTGATTGAGGTAAACCTGAAAACCGCAACTGCAAACTAGATGCAAAAGATCTGGAAACATCCTGCAGGCTGAATATCTGAGCAGATAGTCTGACTTAAAAACCATGAGCTTCTCATTAATAAAGACCAGAAATAAGTACGGTGACTTTTGAAATTAACACAAACCAACCAGATATATATATATATATATATATATATATATATATATATATATATATATATATATATATATATATATATATATATATATATATATATATATATATATATATATATACCACCCCACGAGGGGTGAGAAAATATTTTTTTTTAATCATTTTATAAAGATATTTCTAAATGTATGTTTCTTTGTATATTTGTTTTTAAATGGCTCACTTATTTAAATGATATTATCTCAGCAACGGATTATATTTATTTATTTATTTAATTTTTTTTTTTTTGTCTTTCTAACAATGATAGGATTGTTCCTCCATATCATAAAAATAACTTTTGGTTTTCTGTTTCTACAAAAAAAAAATTTTTTTTGGTTTGAATTGTATATATCTGAAATTTTTTTCAGTCTCATTCCAGCTCATTGGTCAATATTATAAATATATTTTTTTAGGGATATTAGATCAGTTTTCAGACAGCAGCTGGACTCACCTTCTCCTCCCTGAAGCTGCAGACCTGCGGCTCTCTGCTGGAGTTTTATTCTAAGCGCAGCAGCTTCTCCTCCCTGAGCGACGCTGCATCATTGACGGTATGAAGAAAAATAAAGAAAACACGAGTTCATCCAAAATCCAAACAACTAAATGATGAGGAAGAGGATGAGGAGGCGCTGAGTGGATAAAGTCAGATGAAGGAGCAGGAAGTTTCTGATGCAGAGGCTCAAAATAAGTTAACCTCCTTCCGTAATGAAATATAACCTAGATAATAAACTGGAGCTGCGGTTTTACAGGGCAGCATTGCGCCCCTGCAGGGTTGGCGCATAAAGAGCGCTAATTATTAAAAACGTGTTGTTTATTTTCTGACATAAGCATAATTCTTAAGAAATATTTCACCAGTTTATAATTTCTATGTAAAATTCCCAACTGCTAAACTGCAGCATAATACAAATTACCATCAGGATGACAAAAAGGGAGCATTTTACTATGCAGTTATTTATTGGCTATGTATGTATGGAGGACCAGCTCTACCATATTTAAAAATAAATGCAGAAATAAATAAATGCTCTATAAATAAATAAGCATGCAATTAATTGCCCCCAAAAATACAATAAGCAAATAAATGTAGGTAGAAATTAAATAATACAGTGAGACATAAATGTATATATCTCTTAATTAGCTTCTTTATTTATATGCCTTCATAATTATTTGTTTATTGTCTGTTATAACCTTCAACTTTATTTATTAATTACTTATTTTTTAAAGTATTTATTTATGTGACTATTATAATATAAATAATATAATTTATAGTGTTGCACCGATACCAGTATCGGGCGGGGCTCAGATCCAGCACTAAAATGGTGGTATCGGTATCAGCGAGTACCAACCAATAGAGCACCGATAACCTTTTGAGAGCCAAAAGTTTATTCAACTGTTGTCACTCATTCCAGGTAGGCAATAAAAAGTTCTACTGGATTCACTTTGTGTTAGCCTTTTTTTTCCTCTTTCACAAAGGTTATTTTACATCCAAGATGTATTCAGTTCTTCATATATATACGCACACATCAGTTTCAAACAGATGGTATCGGCCAATACTGCACAGCCAGATATCAGGGCCAACACTAATAATTTATCTGCATGTTTATAGCTGCTGTCCATGCAGGATGAGAGGACAGCTCACCAGTCTGTCACATAGCATTGATATAATTCTGCCAATAGGCAGAAGTCCACCCTCTATAACACAGCTTTTCCTCATTTGCATAATGAGGCAGAAATAAATAGCATTAAAGAAATAAACAGGGTAAAAAATATAAAGGAAGAATAAAGCAGACAAAAATATTATAACATGCACATAAATAAATAAGGTAATTACTACAAAGGTGAATACATAAAGAAGCTAATTAAGAGATATATACATTTATGTCTCACTGTATAATTTAATTTCTACCTCCATTTATTTATTTATTGAATTGCAATAAATGTATGCTTATTTATTTATTGAGCATGTCTGTATTTATTTTTAAATATGGTAGAGCTGGTTCTCCATAATTTTGCAGAAAAATGAAGTCACAGAAAAAATAAGCATCCCACATGATTTGCAAACTATATATATATATATATATATTTTTTTTTTTTTTTGTTTATAGCTGTTGTCCATGCAGGATGAGAGGACAGGTCACCAGTCTGTCACAAAGCAAATTATAGATCATCATACATAAAGCTGGCAATTTAGAGACAAATCAACTTAAAACATTTTTGGACAGTGGGGAATCTTTGGGAACCAATAAGCCGGCGCTCCCAGAGAGAATCCAGGTGTTTGACATGATCAACATAAAGAGACAAAGACAGGTGTCGTGCCAAGGTAGTTATACCTGCGAGAATTTGTATCCCCTTCATTGGGAGCGTGCAGAAAGTAGACAGAGCTGATCGAGTTCACTCTGCCTCAGTTGCAACCTACTAAACGTGAAACCTGAGAAGTGTTATGTTTATGAAAAATGAGTTATTTTATTCTTTACTTCACATATTATAGCAGAATATCGCCAGTGATATTGTTTTAAAAAAAAGGAAACACAGCAGTGTCACCTCCTCTCTCTGAAAGCCAACAGCTCCTGGTTTCGCTTCAACATGTTCATTGTTTCACAATGTCTAAATGTTCTCATATCATTATAAACGGTAGTAGACCATTTTCTTTTAATAGAAAATGAAATAGTAAATGGAGTGTACGTGTACGTATTATAGGCTATACCCAGTAGTAATGTTACTAATAATTAGTGTTGCACCGATACAAATACCCTGATCCAGCATTAAAATGGTGGTATGGGTATCTGCGAGTACCAACAAAAAGGGCACTGATACCATTTTGAGAGCCAAAAGTTTCTTCAACTATCAGTATGGTATCGGTATCGGCCAAAACTGCACAGCCGGGTATCGGGGCCAAAAAATAGCATTGGCGCAACACTACTAATAATTAAATCTATATTTGTGTTTTAAATTAACTTATACTTTCTCTATGTTGACCTATCCTTAATAAACAGTGTTTGTTCTAACATCTGGCTTTTTATTTCATTCCATATTGCCTGAACTGGTATCCCCATCTACTCTACACATTCACTATAGCAGTGGTCCCCAAACTTTTTTGCACCACGGACTGCTATATGTCACACAATATTTGGTACAATCAAGTAAAGTGATACGACTGGCATAAAATCAAATACAAACAGCATAAAAATAAAACAACAAGCCGGTCCCATCTAGGCGTAATCGGAGACAATGACAGACGAAGTGTGCTCCTGATGTCCAGTCGTCAATAAATTATATATACGGTATATATACGGTATATTATATACCGTATATATACCGTATATATATATATATATATATATATATATATATATATATACTTTTTTCTGTGCGGCCCGGTACCAAATGACCCACGGACCGGTACCGGTCCGCGGCCCGGTGGTTGGGGACTTCTGCACTATAGGAATATACACATTCTTTAGATTATGATTAGACAGTAGGCTGGAAATTCAAGCACAGAGTTTGCTGTCTGTCCCTGCTATAGTTTGTTCCTTCAGCTTCATTTAAACTAACCAGAATACCATGGGTGGTTCTAGATAGGTGCCACTGGGGGCCCGTGCCCCTGTAGATCATGTCCTGGCCTCTGTTACGGCCCCTGCGCTAAAGACATATTCCTCAAAGAAATTCTAATGATGATCAGACATGGTTATTGATAGGTCCTTTGGATCTATTTCATTTTTCTTCTTTATAAATTCTGTTTTACTGATTATTTAAAAGTGTGATAGCTTCAGTGGAATTGAGATAGGATCCCAGTTTTCTTCTGCTAAATGTTTTTTTCAAAACAAATTTAAAAAAATAGTAAAAGTTTTAAAGCTAAATTTATGAGTTTTTCTTGAGTTCTAATTCTGATTTTATAGAAAATGGTCATTTTTAACTTTAAAAAAGTCAAAAATATGTGAAATTCATATTATGAATGTATATTGTACGGAAGAGGATTAGGGCCACTGGAAAAAAAAAGTTTACTGGTTTTAAAATTTTATTTCAATTTAGTATGGGAAAAAAGAATTCTGACTTTCTTCTCAGAATTCTGACAGATAACAAACATGTTAGCATCCAGCCATAGCCATGTCTGTTTTCGAGACTAGCTCTCTTGTTTTAATGACCTTCTGCTCCTCCATTAATGAGGGGACCCCTCTGGCACGTAAAAAGTTGCCTAATTCCGTCATTTTCCCCCAATGTGTCTCTGGCCACCTCAAACAACTCACATCTTTGTCAGTGAAGCTGAGTGCTCCACATCTCTACCTTCATGGTGCCCATCTACATTAGGATCCACAATTCTGAGATTAAAGTCAGAATTCTTGCTTTTTTTCCCATCTTAGATTGAAATAAAATGTAAAAATCAGTTAACGTTTTTTTTTTTTTTTTCAGTGGCCCTAATCCTCTTACGTAATATTGACCTAATAAGACATAGGATTTTAATTAAACCTAATTGAATAGAACTTTCACTTCATGCAGCTATATTAATATATTTGAATCTCTTCCCCTGTTTTTTATTTCATGGTTATCTGTGCCCCCATGGAAACATGCTGATGATGTAGGTCAGAAACAGTGATTACAGTTATTGCAGGTCTGAGATCTCAGTTTTTCCGAGCAGCAGAATAAAACAAGCAGCCTTTTTTTCCATGTTGCTCAGCTCTGGAACAAAGAAAGAAATTTAAGCACTGCTTTAGTCAAGCTGAACACAATAAATGTTCCAACTTCCAGTTTTGGGATCCTACTTCCTCCTTCATAACCAACATTTTAAAGAAGTCCACATAGAGGATCATATCTCTGATTGGGCTTTAAGAACCACATGAAATGCTCCAGGTATTCTCTGTTATCTCTCATTTACTTTAAAGTTCCTCAAAGAATGTTTGTGAGTAATATATAACGATTGTTTTGGTGTGAGGACTGCAAAGCTCTTTACCCACTAATGGTAATGACATCTGCCCTGGGCACGTCCAGGAAGCAGGACTTTGAACCAGCAACTGGTCACGGAAAGTTCCCTCTGCCTCAGTTCCAACCTACTAAATGTGAAACTTTATTTCAATTTTAAGAGTTTATCAACTTTTCAGGTTATCTGATTTGTCAGGATTTGGTTATGGTAGTTGACCCAAAAGCAGAGGCAGGAAGGCAGAGGTGAATTTCTTGTGATCATTTAATGAAAGGTTTTACTGGAAACAGAGGCAGGTTATCCAAAAATCCAATTATGAAAAGTCCAAATCAAACAGGAAACCAGGAATCCAAAACCCAAAGTGAAAAACCAGGCCAAAAATCCAAAAACATGAAACAAGTCAAAACGAACCAGAAACCATGGAAACATCAAAACAACAAATGGAGGAAGGCTCAGAGAGACGGAGTTAGAGGAAGTTTGACGAAGTTAGACGAGGACCCAGCCAAGAAGAACTGAACGTAGAGAGTATTTATAGGAGACTGAAAACAAAGAGAGGGCTAATGAGCAGACTGGGAGCAGGTACGCACAGAGCAGGAGAGGAAAAGAGCTAGGGAAAAAGG